TTCTATAATTTTTCTAGAAACATGGATAGAAAAGTCAAAAACTAGAAAAATTGACATTTTCATACTAAGGACTCACTTATTGGTGCTTGATGTAAAATACTTGTTATTTATGAATATCTAAGCATACTAGCCTCTCTCTCTCTCTCTCTATATATATATATATATATATATATATATATATATAGGTACAAAAAAAATCAAATGTTATAATAAACTATATACGTATAGCTTATGGTTCATTAACACTATTGTAACATGTTGAGCAAAGTGTATAATTATATAGAAATTCATATATAATTATTTTATACTAGTTTATTATCATGGAAAAGTGATAATCATATATACAAAAGTTTTTATTACTACAAAACATTTATGATAAACTATAATAGGTATAGTTTATGTGTCATTTACACTATTTTACCATTTTGGGGTGAACAAATAATTATTTAAAGGTATAATTATTCTACACTATGAAATTACTATGGAAAGATATTATTTCCACTTACAAAAGGGTTTTCATTACACTATACGTAAACTTGTTGAATCAAATTTTATGAGTCAAAGTTTCATCGTACCTATCAGGGTACCTACAAACGTCATGTATCATAACCAAAGTCTCCCGTAAGAGAGCGTGATACTTGTGTATAGAACAATACAAGACTGACAATCCCGCACCTAAGCTGCTTGTAACAGCTAGACCGACAGGTCTGGGGTGACAAATGTCATAACATTCCGACGCCTGAAGAACGTTGCGACAGACCATCTATGTCATTAGCACGGTTATATTAACTCACATGGGAAACAACGATACATTTAGTTTACGGGGAAACATACCTTCAAACGGTTTTATATAAAATAAAACTACATATTACGACTTTAAGTATTAAAATACTTGTACTTTTCGGTCTTAGGGTTTTTGTAAGACTACAATTCATTTTAAGGAAAATATTGGATTTTCTGGATGCATACATTCAAATGGTTTTATATAAGAATAAAACTACATAATACTACTTTCGAGTACAACAATACTTATACGTTTTTGGTCTTAGGGTTTTAAGACTGCAGTTCATTCCTAAGAAAATATTGGATTTTGTGGAAACATACACTCAAATGGTTTTATATAGATTAAAACTAGATTTTACTATTTTATGTATAGAAATACTTATACATATCGGTCTTAGGGTTTTTTTAAGACTACAATTCATTTTAAGGAAAATATTATATTTTCTGGAAACGAACACTATCATTTTACAAGGAAAGGCTTACAATTCTTCATACAAACTCTTAGGAACTCACCAACTTAATTGGTGACACTTTTCAAAACTACTTGTATTATCAGGGAATCATTAAAGCATATAACTACAAGCTTTTGAGGATGGGACGCTAAGACGTCAAACAAATCTGCTAAATCGTCATACTGTAATTGGTTTTGAAACATACAACTCATACAACAATGTAACTCTTTCAGTTATATTTATGATGGTTGTGTTTTGCTTTAATCACTATTATTCAATTATGTTATGATACAATACATGAAAGTCATACACCTCCGGACATTTCTGCCATCCTGGTTTGGGGGTGTGATATAAACCAAGAAAAATAAAATAAAATAACAATTAGTATATAACAAACTTACAAATTAAAAACTTTAACATAATAACATGACTCGAAAAATGGTCAAAAACCCTCAAACCAACACAAAAACCTTGTAGACTTGTTTTCTTTGAGAATTTTATATGTGATTGGTATTTGTGTGTCTACTTAAAGAGATTGGTCTTTTATAATAGATTATCCATTAAGTGCTTATTAAACATATTATATAAATTATAAAATCTTTGAATGGTTAATCATTATTAAGTCTTTTGAGTGGTATTCATTCAAATAAAAGGTTTCAAATGAATATGGTTTAAGTAAAATGCATCATGGGAGGTTCAAATGAATGTGGTGAAAGGAAAAATGATTACTTTATAAGTATACAATGACCATTTGTGTAATTTTGTCTATAATTAAGGAAGTAAATTTGAATAATACTAATGAGGTTATCTAATTTACGTTTTTAGAAAAGAAAAATATGGGAATGGATTTCCACGATGCCACATGGAATGATTATAATGATAGAGAAAAGATAATTTAATTCTCTAGAAAGGTGCCACTTAACCTATATTATATATATATATATATATATATATATTGAAAAATATATGTTTATCATGGTTATGTTATTGACATTTACTTTGACATAATATATTTACACTAATATATATATAATATATATATATATATATATATATATATATATATATATTCTCCTTTTGACATGTGTCACCATATTAGGCCTTCATAATTAAGGCATATTTTATTTTTCTTTTGTCATGTGTCACCATTTATGTCTCCTAATTAATGCATGTCACTTGTCAACCTATTGATTATCCATTTTAAATTTTAAATTTTAAATTTCTCACTCTAATTACATTAAATTAATAACATTAGAATAAAAATTAAAATAAAATTAATACAAACTATAAAGTGATATAATTTTGCATATTTATTTTAATGAATGATTATAATTTTATATAACAAAAAAAAATCTCTTAATTAATAATTTATTTAAAATAAATGATTAATAATTTTGAGTTTTTTTTTACTATTAAAGTTTAATTAATTTTGTAACCGTGGTTTCCACGGGTTATAAACTAGTATATATATATATATATATATATATATATTATTATAGATATATATATATATATATATATATATATCATCTCAACTATTTGAACGATAATATTCATTGACATCAACCCACCTTCCTCATTAATAGAATTAAATATAAGTATCTCTTTATTATTATTTTTAACAATTATTATGATTGATTAATTTAAATTTTTACTTATGCAATTATTTTCTATTTTCATTAATGATGATCATTTAAAATACAATTTATTTGTAGCTAACGCTATGTAATTTATAATTTGATGTTATTATCATTTAAAATTATTGTTAATTAATTTTAAACCACTTATTATTATTAATAAGTTAAAGAAGACTTTTGAGAAACACTTGATATTATTATTCAAATATGAAACATATACTACATAGTAAAGTTATAAGATTGACAATTTGTATTTCAAAAGAGACTTGCATAGATAATATGACATATTCATGATTTTTATAATTTGATTTTTATTATTTGTAACTATTGTTCGTTAATTTTAAAACCACTTATTATTATTAATAAGTGAAAGAAAACTTTTAAAAAACACTTATTATTATACTTAAAATGTTAAACTTATACTAAAATATAATCTGATAAGATAGACAAATTGCATTTTAAAAGACACTTACATGGATAATATTGATAATATGACATATCCATGATTTTTAATTACTTATTGCTTTGAAGCTACACAAACATACAAACATATATACAATATTTAATTAGATATTATCTATATCACATTCCATAACATATGATCGATAACATGAATCTAATCTAATTTACATTAAAATTTCAACCACAACATACAATGATTGTCTTAAGAGAATACTTAAACCAAGAAAAAAAAAAAGAATTAGTATATAATAAACTTGCAAATTAAAAACTTTAACATAATAACATGACTCGAAAAATGGTCCAAAGCCCTCAAACCAACACAAATACCTTTAGACTTGTTTTCTTTGTGAATTTTATATGTGATTGGTATTTGTGTGTCTACTCAAAGACCTTGAACTTTTATAGTAGACTATCCATTAATTGCTTATTAAACATATTATATAAGTTATGAAACCTTTGAATGGTTAATAATTATTAAGAGACTTTTGAGTGACATTCATTCAAATAAGAGGTTTCAAATGAATATGGTTTGAGTAAAATGCATTATGGGAGTTTCAAATGAATGTGGTGAAAGAAAATATGCTTCCTTAGTGAAAGAAAACTTTTAAAAAACGCTTATTATTATACTTAAAATGTTAAACATATACTAAAATATAAACTGATAAAATAGACAATTTGCATTTTAAAAGAGACTTACATGGATAATATGGATAATATGGCATATCCATGATTTTTAATTAATTATTTGTACAACTGGTAAAAATTGGTCAGAGTTTGGCGGTCAAACCACCGCGAACCGTTATGCAATAAAGACCAATTGTGTGTAATTTTTATGTTTATATAGTATATTAAAAATACTATATTTATAATTACTTTTAAAACATCTCAAACTGTGTAAAACATCTATCGTTGAGAATAGAATAAAAAATTACCAAAAATTAAATTTATTTGTGTTGTTAAAAATGAATTTTTGCAAAAAAAATATATCTTAGAGTTTTGGATATGAAATTTGAATAGATTACGTTCTCCTGATTTTGTGGATATAAAGAACGTCTAAAACGGAGGTCGTATGAGAAAGTTACGCCTCTTTAAAGTTATAAAAATCAGTATTTATCTGATTTTCTTGAAACGAACCGTGCATTGTTTCGTTTGGAACAGCTACGAGTATCGTAAACTATTTTTGAGCACATTTTTGAATTTAGACTACGATCTATTATTTTATTATATTTTTATAATATTTTTAAACTCAACCGAAATCAGATTTGTAAATATGTCGAATCCAATCCTATAAATTGCGAAATATTAAACGGATTTTACCGGAGTTCTACTTATAGGATGTAAGATCCGTCTGACTTTTTGGAAACCTTATAACCAAGACTATCAATTGTCATTTTCAGAAAAATTATTTGATTACGTAACCCAGTGCATACGAATCGAGAATGTTATAAAATATCATCATATACAAATATGACATTGTACTTTTGACACTTTGAGTCATGCATAGTTGAATTTATATTTTCAACAATATAATTATAGCATCTATATTTATATTTTCTACCATGCACATCACTCAATAATACACAAAATACATGTTTTTACATACATAAATACATGATTATACATATACAAATACATATAATATATACACCAATACATGATTAGAGCAATGCATTTGCTTCTAAATTTACCTCAAAAGTACAATAATAAAGAGAATGGACAACCAAGTGATGTTTCTTCTACACTTCACTTTAACCAAATCAACACTCAAAGAAACTTCTCATACTTCAACCTTTTTCTTCCATCTTTTTCCTTGTGCAATACCTGTCAACTGAACCAGCAAAAAATCACCACAGAAGATGCATTTTTTTTTTTTTTTGAGAAATCAAGGAGGCAGCAGCCTCTTTTCTCTTTTCTGTTGAACGGAGCAAGCCAAACACCCTCTGAAGTCATCACAGTGACTGCTAGCTTCTCCATTCCGTTTTGCGTTTTGCTGCCTGACCAAATAAGGGACAGCCAAGAGCCGCCGGAGCAGCCCTCGCTGCCTTAAGCTGCTGGCAACAACTTTGCTGCCAACCCCCGCTTTCTGCCTCCCTTGATCAGCCAAGCACAGGTGGTGCTCCTCCTGTTCAACCACTGAACAGTCACCTCGACACCTGCTCCACCGCCGCCAGTCGTTGCTGCTGTTGCCCTTTCGTTTTCCTGCTATCGGCGACGAGAAAGAACCCTGAGAAGGTTCACCGGAGATAGACTACTCCTCCTCCTTGCTCGACAGGTGAACCACCGAACCACCCTTCCTCGATCGCCGTTTCGATTTCTCCTCCTGCCCTCGCGTTCTTTTTGTCTGCTTTCGTTCTTTCCTTGCCCGATCTAATGGAAACGAAGGCACCAAAATAAAACCCCGATCCCTTTTATTAGTTTGATGGATTTGGCAGAACTAACCCTCCAATTGTATCTTTTAATCCCAAACAACCCCATTTTTAATAGATAGATCAAAAATGGTTCATGTTGGTTAACTTAAGTTACTAAACAACCATCCACTTGTCGAGTTATTATCAAAACAGTCCCACCAGCCTTGTGATTTATTTGAAACAGCCCTACAGTTGTCAAGTAATACCGAAACTTCCCTTTTATTAATTAAGTGACAAAAATAGTTCAGGTGGTTTGTTTTAAACTCAAAAAGTGTCAAGATGCGGTTTCTCACGACAAATTTCACGAAGCGAGCCTAGATCGAGATCACGCATCGAATGTGAGTTTCTACGGCCCCTCTTTTACAGTTTTAATTTTAGGGAGAATGCATGAGTGTCTATCTAAAGTTTTGATGATTTTCAAGTTTTTATACAAAGAATAACATCATACTTTATTATTGGTTAAGATTTTTTGAAGATAACAATCTAAAAGGTATAAAACATTAATAAATTATATAAGTAATAGTAGAATGCTATAAATGATATAATTATACATTATTGTGATATATTAATTAATATTAATAAAAATCACACGATTATAAATAGAATGATATGAAGATATAAGTTATTCGATGAATTATAAACTGTAATACTCGTCGTATATATGTACACGAAAATATTGAGAAAGCATAAAAAGAAACTATATACATAACAAAATGTGTTGTTTGATATAATTGTGTACAAAGAAAATGTACATTATCTTAAATGACTATAAATGAAGATTTGACAAATATATAATAATTAATTGAAGATATACAAAAAATCAATTATTATTATTATCCTCTTGATTATTACGTGGGAATGATTTCTAAGTAAACGATATAATTTATTTTATAAGTATTATAAAAATATAAATCACTTTAGTTGTGATACTAAATGCGTCACATACAATAATATAATTGATTCTCAAATCTTTAGGGATTATTACCTAATAAATTATACGGCATATCAATTATGCAATTTATCGAATATTTGCATAAATGAGTATTCGGCTACGCGAACGAACATCCTCCTTATCGGCTGAAGTAAGGAACTATTCAAATTATTATCGCCACAATAGTCGAATGCTACGCTAAATTCACTATTTAACTAATTTAAATAAGCTTTGAAAATCTTAATAATCTAAGATTCGCGTTAGTGACCCTAGTGAACGGCGAATTTGTGAGTCGAAGAATTGTTGTCAAGGATTTTGTAGATTGTGTATCCCGTGTGTGTTTGTGGGAGGAATATATCGAAAGGGGGTAAAAGGGAGAGTTTTGTGTGGGCATAATTTCTTTCATAAGGACAAAATCCTAGATCGAAACCCAATGTATTGAAAGGGGGTAAAAGGGAGAGTTTTGTTTGGGCGTAATTTCTTTCATAAGGACAAAATCCTAGATCGAAGCCCATTGTATTGAAAGGGGGTAAAAGGGAGAATTTTGTGTGAGCGTAATTTCTTTCATAAGGACAAAATCCTAGATCGAAACCCAATGTATTGAAAGGGGGTAAAAGGGAGAGTTTTGTGTGGGCGTAATTTCTTTCATAAGGACAAAATCCTAGATCGAAACCCACTCTATAACCGTTAATCCATTGTTATTTATAGTGTGCCTGTGTGGCTTGTGGAGGAGCAACGTATAGTGTCGGTTATAGACAAATTGTTATATTGAAGATTTTTACTCGAAGAAGTATAGGTCTAAATTGAGTCAATCCTCCCAATTTGGGCCGAGTGTGTAAGAGTGTATAGGTTGTTAACTACCTCTCCCTACGACATAATTCTCCATAAGCAGAAACGGGACAACTAATAGAATTGTAAAGAGAATGATTAATATTTGTTGTTGAAATTCTACGAGTGGTAAAAATATGTGTTTATAATTTACCGGTTATTGAAAAGTATTTTGGGATGAGTTTGCCCCACTAGTTAAGTGTCGATTTCCAAATTAAGTAAGATGATGCTTAATTAATAATACGGCACGGATTTACAAAGTTTATAAAATTTGAAACTTATGAGTTTTACATATAAACTATACGAACGTTTGTACAAAGTTTTAAGAGTAAACTTAGCTATTTTATGTTTTCACAAAGTGTGATATGACTTTATTTTATATAAATTGGTTTTCAAAATCTTTATATAAAGAGCATTTCGGTCATGAGAACCATAAAAACTTGTTATAAGTTTGGTTTACTTATATATTTTGCAAATGGTGTATTTTTGGATTTGAGCGAATGACATTTCTAAATGAGTTTAAATATACTTTTATGACTTAATTATTTTATACTTTCGATAGAAAAATATGTATTTATAAAAGCTGGTCAACCAGATAAATTTTTTAAAACATTTTTGGATATAAAAATACTTTGAGTCAAAACCTGTAGAACTCACCAACAATTTTTGTTGACGTATCTTAAAGCATGTATTCTCAGATTATTTATAAGGTCGGAAGTGTTTGTACAAAAGATCCTCCGATACTTTGTCATACAATTGTGAACGCCGGATTGTTAGGTGTATCGTGTATGTAGTGATTCAACAATAGTCATTATCAATGTAATTTCTATTTCGGTAATAATAGAAGATTATATTTGTACTGTTCAATGTATGTTCAATAACTGTGATTACTGGTTTACGTCACGCACCTCGGCGTTTCCGCCGTCGGCTGAGGGTGTGACATTATTGCTTTGAAGCAACACAAACATACAAGCATATATACAATATTTAATTAAATATTATCTATATCCCATTCCATAACATATGATCGATAACATGAATCTAATCTAATTTACATTAAAATTTCAACCGCAACATACAATGATTGTCTTAAAAGAATACTTAAACCAAGAAAAAAAAAAAGAATTAGTATATAACAAACTTACAAATTAAAAACTTTAACAGAATAACATGACTCGAAAATGGTCCAAAGCCCTCAAACCAACACAAAAACCTTTAGACTTATTTTCTTTGTGAATTTTGTATTAGATTGGTATTTATGTGTGTACTCAAACAGATTGGCCTTTTATAGTAGACTATCCATTAATTGCTTACTAAATATATTATATAAGTTATAAAACCTTTGAATGATTAATAATGATGAAGAGACTTTTGAGTGGTATTTATTCAAATAAGAGGTTTCAAATTAATATGGTTTGAGTAAAATGCATCATGAGAGTTTAAAATGAATGTGGTGATAGGAAAAATGTTTCCTTTATAAGTATACTAAACGAATTCTCGTGCGTTGCGCGGCAGAGGTTAAAAATATATTGTTAGAATATTGAAAAATATGTGTGTATAATGATTATGTTATTGACATTAATTTTGACATAATATTTTTACATTAATTTATATATATATATATATATATATATATATATATATATAATTTCAACAATTTTGAACAATAATATTCATTGACATCAACTCACCTTCCTCATTAACATAATTAAATATAACTATCTATTTAGTATTATTTTTAACAATTGTTATGATTGATTAATTTAAAATTTTACTTATGCAATTATTATCTAATTTCATTAATGACATTTATTTAAAATACAATTTATTTGTAGCTAACGTTATGTAATTTATAATTTGATGTTATTATCATTTAAAATTATTATTCATTAGGTTTAAACCACTTATTATTATTAATAAGTTAAAGAATACTTTTAAGAAACACTTAATATTATTATTCAAATATGAAACATATTCTAAATAATAAAATGATAAGATTGACAATTTGTATTTCAAAAGAGACTTGCATTGATAATATGACATATCCATGATTTTTATAATTTGATTTTATTATTTATAACTATTGTTCGTTAATTTTAAAACTACTTATTATTATTAATAAGTGAGAAAACTTTTAAAAAGCACTTATTATTATACTTAAAATGTTAAACATATACTAAAATACAAAGTGATAAGATAGACAATTTGCATTTTAAAAGAGACTTACATGGATAATATGAAATATCCATGATTTTTAATTAACTATTTCTTTGAAACAACACAAACATACAAACATATATATACAATATTTAATTAAATATTATCTATATCACATTCCATAACATATGATCGATAACATGAATCTAATCTAATTTACATAAAATTTCAACCACACCATACAATGATTGTCTTAAAAGAATACTTAAACCAAGAAAAAAAAAAAGAATAAGTATATAACAAACTTACAAATTAAAAACTTTAACATAATAACATGGCTCGAAAAATGGTCCAAAGTTCTCAAACCAGCACAAAAACCTTTAGACTTGTTTTCTTTGTGAAATCTATATGTGATTGGTATTTGTGTGTCTACTCAAAGAGATTGGCCTTTTATAGTAGACTATCCATTAATTGCTTATTAAACATATTATATAAGTTATAAAACCTTTGAATGGTAAATCATTATTCAGATACTTTTGAGTGGTATTCATTCAAATAAGAGGTTTGAAATAAATATGGTTTGAGTAAAATGCATCATGGGAGGTTCAAATGAATGTGGTGAAAGGAAAAATGTTTCATTTATAAGTATACTAGACGAATTCTCGTGCGTTGCGCGACGCAGGTTAAAAATATATTGTTAGAATATTGAAAAATATATGTTTA